CTGTGCTGATCTCAAATGACTCAAGTTTTCTTTTTGTTTGCATAAGGGTTGAATAATAGAATGTGAAATGAAGCACGAGAAGTTAATTTGTGGTTCATTTGGACTATAAACTCTTCGGGACAACAGGATTGTTCGTGTTACATTTGTGGAGATGCCTAGCACAAGGCAGCCCAGAGCTCTGAATGGAACTTGTGAGGCTATTGCAGTGCTACTATAAATAATAATGAATGCCTTAACACTGCTATGCCCTCCCTGTGCCTACCCCACTTATGCTGAAATGCCAGTTTACCAGGAACTTCCTCCTATTCAGAGGAGTAAATTAAATGCTATCACGATCCAAAAAAATTATATCTGTGAAGTGCTTTTTACACACCTGTGAAATGATGATTCTTTTTTAATGGCACCATCAATATCAGAACTGGTAAAGAAACAACTGGGCCATCTTCTGGGAATTCAAAAGTTGACTCGGATGTGATAGCAAATCATAATAACTAGCATACATGACTTAGATTGCATAATAAAAGGGTGTGGGATCCAACAGGAATGCTAGCTGGGAGAGGATGGATTGATAATGCTGTGTAGAATGGCACGGGTCCCTAAATTGTGATGTGAGGCCATACCTCAAGAGGGTATGTGTTGGGTATTGGCAGATTATTGTGCGTTAGCGAGTTTGTATGCAGTGCAGACCAGGCCAGAGTCCTGCACTCTTCCTAAGCACAGTGGCATCTACTTGTTACTTGAGAAAAAGTGAAAAGCTTCAAGTACCTGGCCTGATGTGCAGTAGGCCTGTGTGAAGCAGAAAGTATTCGCTTCAGACTTGGATTCAGCGATTTGGAGGAACAATGATTAGATTCGGTGAGTTGAATCACTGTCTCGGTTCGATTTCAGCCATACACTGTACAGGCAGGCAGCGCAGGGGGGAGCAGCCAGACGAGCACCGACTTGAGGCAGCAGCCCCGGGAGAAGCCATGGCTCATCTGGCTGCCCCCAACTACGGTGAGGCGGGCAGTGCTGGCAGCCACAGGAGCTGGGGGAATGATTGGGGAGCTGGGGAATTGAACCGGGAACTGGGGGGAAGCCCCTAATTGTTCCCCCCAGGCCCCCAGTCGTTCTCTCAGCCCCTGCGGCTTCTCCCGGGGCTGCCGGCTCAAGCCGCGGCTTTGTCCAGCTGCCCCCGACCAGGGTGAGGCAGGCAATGCTGGCAGCCCTGGGAGAAGTCGCAGGGGCTTGGGGGATCGAACCAGGAGCTGGGGGGAATGACTGGGCTAGGGAAACGAACAGGGGTTTTCCCCCAGTTCCTGGTTCGATCCCCCAACTCCCCACTCATTTTTTTTCCCCCCAGCCCCCATGGCTTCTCCCGGGGCTGCCAACGCTGCCAGGGGAGCAGCCAGACAAACTACGGCTTGAGCCAGCAGCCCTGGGAGAAGCCGCAGGAGCCGGGGGAATGATTGGGACCCGAGGAATTGAACCGGGAGCTGGGGGGGAAGCCCCTGTTGTATCCCCTAGCTCCCCAATCGTTCCCCCCAGCCCCCGTGGCTTCTCCTGGGGCTGCCAGCACTTCCTGCCTCGCCCCAGCAGGGGGGGAAGCTGGGGGAGCAGCTGGACAAGCCGCAGCTTGTCCCAGGACTGCCGGCTCCAGCTGGGGCTCGTCTGCCTGCTCCTCCGGCTCCTCCTGCCGGCACTGCCTAGTGCCTGCCTGCACAGTCTACAGCTGAATCTCTCTGAATCGACTCGGAGGCTTCCGATTCGATTCGGAGAAAGAAATGGGTCTCCCGATTTTGATACGGATTCGGAGATTATCTGCCGAAGTGGGCCGAATCTCCTCCGAATTGAATCGGCTACCGAAGCTTTGCACAGCCCTAGTGTGCAGTGATTTTGGGGGAGGGGAGGAGAATGCATGGGAGAGTACATCTCTTACCCCTCCCCCTGCAATCAGTTCACGCCCTGAAATGTGAACCTGGATTACCTCAATGAAATTGTGCGATCTGCAGTTGATCACAATCTATAACATTTGTTGGTTTTTATTGCTCTGACCTCCTTGCAATAGTGAAGTCTATTGGCTGGGGCTAAGTTTGTTGGTATCTACACACTCTTTGAGCTGAGGAAGTGATCTCATCCCTGAGGGGGGGAGGAAGGTGGTGCATGTGAGAAACTGGGTGCTTTTCTGGTCTACTGCGTGGAGGATGGATGGGTGGAAGGTCAGAAGAGAAAGACAGTCATAGAAAATTAGGCGTGAAAGGGCTCTCAGGAGACTATCTAGTCCAGGGATGGGCAGAGTCCAGGCCAAATTGGGCTCATGGTGGACTCTGTTTCCCAGCAGCCCCTGTCTGCATTCCTCCAGCTGGTTTCCATGGAGACCCTAGCAGTGGTGATGGCTGGGATGTCCATGGAACCCGGCGCCAGCAGCACAGCCAGGGCACGCAGCTCTGGGGCCGGGACCTTGCCGCAGTGACGCCACGATTCAGAGTTGGTACAGAGCTGCGATCTGCTGCCTGCGCACGCTGGGCAGGGGCCTGCAGACAGCGGATCATGGTTCTGCCCTGGCTCCAGACCGGCCTGTCACCGCTGCAAGATCCCAGCCCTGGCTCTGGAGCAGCTCCCTGCCAGTGCTGCTAGCACTGGTTTCCATGGTAACCCTGGCCCTGTGCTGTCAGTGTGCCTCCACTGCTGGGGTCTCCGTGGAAACCAGCTGCAGCGAGGCAGGCAGGGGTTGCTGGGAAATGGAGTCTGGCTGCCGGCCAGATCTGCCATTTTGCCTACCCCAATCTAGTCCAGCCCCCTGCTCAAAGCAGGGCCGTTCCCAACTAGATCATCCCCGCCAAGGCTTTGTCTAGCTGCGTCTTAAAAACCTGCAGGGATAGAGAGTCCATCACCTCTCTCTAGGGAACCTGTTCCAAGTGTTTAAGCTACTCTCCAAGTGGAAAAAAAAAATCCTAATGTCTAATATTCTAATATCTAACCTTGCTGCAACTTGAGACCATTGCTTCTTGTCCTGTCATCTGCCACCACTGAGACCAGTCTAGCTCCGTCCTCTCTGGAAGCCCCTTCAGGGAGTTGAATGCTGCTATTAAGTCCCTGCTCAGTCTTCCCTGCTCCAGACTAAATAAGATCAGTTCGCTCAGCCTCTCTTCAGAAGTCATGTGCTCCAGCCTCTTAACCATTTTCGCTGTCCTCTTCTGGACTCTCTCCAACTTGTCAACATCCTTTCTGTAGTGGGGCATCCAAAACTGGGCACAGTACTCCAGATGTGGCCTCACCACTGGTGACTAGAGGGGAAGAATCATTCCCCTTGACTTGCTGGCAATGCTCCTACTAATGCAACCCGGTATGCCGTTGGTCGTCTTTGGCAACAAGGGCACGTTGCTGGCTCCTATTCAGCTTATTGTCCACTGTAATCCCCAGGTCCTTTTCTACAGAGTTGCTGCCCAGCCAGTCAGCCCCCAGCCTGTACTGGTGCATGGGACTCTTGTGTCCTAAGTGCAGGACTTTGCATTTGTCCTTCTTGAACCTCATGAGATTTTCTTTTGGTCCAGTCCTCCAATTTGTCTAGGTCTCTCAAGAGTAGGATGTTGACTGTTTTTAATTTTTATATTTTCTGTTTTTAATGAAAGCTGGTTTTTATTTTTGAAGACTTCAGCTGGAAAAAAGTGACCATCTATTTAAAAAAAAAAATGCTTGTATGGATAAAATGAACTTTCTCTGGCATAAACTGCTTGTTCTCAGGAACATGAAAATACAGGCTCTTTACGGGAGGCAATGTTGTCACAGCTGTTGCTGGGCCATATGAAGAGTAGGGAGGACCTAGGGGTCCTTGTGTTCCCCATTCAGCTTTTTCACTGGTTGCAGTGGAGGGAGCAGGCGATACTGCTCTGATGCTCATGCTCCTTCTGTCAAGTGACAGGGAATGGGAAAATCCTGGCTGTGCCTCCACCCACTTCTGCACCCACTGGGCCAAAAGAGTAATGATCCATGAGAAGGAAGTGGGGTACTTTACTCTCTTTACAGCAAGGCAAGGAGAGGGAGAGGGGGAAGAACTATAAGTCACACCATGCTCCCTTATTTCCTGGGTGAGAGTAGAGCTGCAGTAGCTGCCTGGTTCAAGGTCTTTTGTAATACTAGTGTCTAGCTCAGCATTGGCCTGTGGTTAGTGAAAACCACTGTCCAGGTCTTAAAAAAAAAACAACAAATCCCTCTTAAATAATTGTTTAAAAGAGGAAGCTTTTTGACATTAAACAAAACTAATTTAACCCCTTGGTCTATATGAACCAAATGCTGTATTGGATACATTGCATTGTGGGCGAATGGCCTGATCAGCTTGTACAGAAGCGTGTTCAGTTTCTATCCCAACAGCTTCAGCAGAGAGACTTTTGGGACATCAGTCATTTTTCAGCACCCCAGTGGGTCTAGTAAGGTTGGTTATACTGGATGTGCTCTTGGGTAGCCCTAGATACCCATCTGTACAATATGGATAGAGCCCACATTCTTGTTAGATGTTAATAGGTTTTACTCTTGTAGCTTGAAGCAGTGGTCTCAAGTGGGGTGCGCAAGACGATCCATTGGGATGCAGGAAGAAAATATTAGAACTTCTGTTTATATTTATATAAATATACATATATTGGGGTGCGTGTTCAAAAAATTTTTACTGATAGGGCTGTGCGATCAAAAAAGTTTGGAGACCACTGGCTTAGAGAATTTATATTGTTTCATAGATCCCTCATCCTTTTTTATGGAAGAGTATCAGAACACTTTGTATCAGATGCACCTGCACAGATGCTCTTAAGTACATGTATGGGTAGGAGTCGGAGCCAGAGCCACAGCAGCCTCCTGCCCTGGGCCAGTACTCAAATCCAAGATGAATTCTTTGTTTCCCCCTCTGCATGTTACATTGTGGGGGGGGGGAAACTCTTGTTGGATTTGAATAAATATAGTATCTCCCTTTCTGTTGGCCTGGTCAGTCGCAGACCACCTGTATTTAACCTTTTTTTCTTTTCTTCTTGCAGTTGGTGACAAGGTGCCAGCTGACATCCGGATCATTGAGATCAGATCCACGACGTTACGGGTTGATCAGTCCATTCTGACAGGTACAGACCATGATTTGGGGAGGTGGGGAGGTCATGTGGGTGTTGTGAGTGTGGTAGTCTCTTGGGACTGCTGTTATTGGAATTAGTTCTGCCTCTGGAATAGCACAGGGAGGGGTGACTGGCATATGCTTGGGGCAATAGGCATCTTTGTGCCCATAAACCTGAATAATAATAATTTCTAAGTAACGCTACCAGCTTGGCAAAAGTTGTGTTTTGATTGTTATCCCACCTTATGCCATTTCCATACCTGTTATGAAGTGGTTGGTGCCAAACTTTTTCTATCACTTCCCAAGCATTTACCTTGCTAGACCTGAGACGGTTGGGTGGTTGGTTGGTTGGTATTACTGTCCCCATTTTACAGGTGAAATTTAAGCAGAGGAACGAAGTATAGGATTTTCAAATGTGTTCACTATTGGTCTAGCTCTGCTTCCATTGAATACTGGGAGTTTTTATCACTGACTTTAATATAAGCAGTCAGCAAAAAAACCTTCAAAATTGCTTTGCATTTCATTTACTGTATTTACCTGAATCCAAGACAACGTCCCAGTGATTAGATTCTTGACTTCCCAAGCATTTACCTTGAGTTCCCCATCAGTGCTTCCCAAGCATTTCTTCAGTTTTATCATGATAGATTTGTCACCTCCTTGAAGAGTGCTTCATACACTTCCTTTTCCTGATTTGGTGACTTATCATAAGTCCCCACCATTAAATCAGTGCTGCATCTTTCACTTTTCATCTTCACCCAAATGCATTCTGCTCTGCTAACTCCTCCTCCTGAACCAGGGAACAAATGTGTGCATTTTTGACATGCAAAGCATCACTACCACTTCTCTGAAATGATCTAGCCCCTATTCCGGGGGTTCTCAAACTGTAAGTTGTGACCCCCCCCCCCCCGGGGATCATGGCCACCCAAAAAGGGGGCGAAAAGCTC